CCTTTCCACTTATACCAGTTGACACCATCACCACTTGACGAGTGTTTCCCGAGATGATACAGACCATTCAGGTTGGAATCATGGCAGGTCCCATACCACCAAGCTCCTTTATATTGAACAGCACAGTTTGAGCGCCAGCTGTCATTGTCCTGGTCTCTGGTTGAAAATGGCAGGCCTCGATGAGGAGAGAGAGAATCACCTGCAGTTCCTAAAAGAAAATGAAAAAGATTGGCCTGTCAGAAAATATAATAATTATACTACAATGAAAGAAAATGATAGTTTCTTACTGTCAGTTTATAGTTCATATCCAACCTGAATAGCTTCCGAGACTTAGCTGGTAATCAGCCCGCTCGCCCGTGATAGCGAACAAGTTATATTCTGCATAGGCTGTTTTTCCTTCGGTGTCTTCCAGATCAACACGCAGCTTGTATCTGTCACTGCTCGTCAGGCGGTTTATCTTGACCAGTCCAAGCCAAAACTCGCCATTCAGATTACCAAAGCCTTTTTTGTAATCATTCCACCCTCGGTAAAAATCAACGGAGCCGTCCAGTCTCTTCTGAAACACTGTCCAGCCCCCGCCAGATGTTTTCTGATCACAGTATACATCAAAGGCACCGGCACTTGAACCATCGGGGTTGATTGCATAAACTCCACTCACTGTTTTACCAGATTTGTAGAGCTCAGCACAGTTTTTATTGTGAGGCAAGTCTTGTGATGAGAAAGAAAAAAATTAGCGAAAGAATAGTATTTCTGCGACATTTTCATTAAAGCTGAGAAAACGAGCACAGATCTAGAATTGACGACAAAAATTAAGACTGATTACTAGTAAAGAAGGCGCGGAGTGTATAACCTGTTTTCTAACGAAGCTCAACAAAACGAGGAAAGTCGCCTAAAATTAATTACCACGATATTCTGGACTCCGGAGTTCTCATACTGTTTTTAATTTACTTCTATTCTGTTTATGGTCATCGGTAAGATTGCGTGCAATCTAATTAATTTGCATCACGTATACATCGTCAGTTTACGTGCGTGCAAAGGCAGGCTGTGACAGGCAACTTGAAGAGAAAGCCGTGATGGTTAGAGTTATAGTGAGCTGTGGTGTCGTCGAACTTCCAACAGCAGTATGATAATTTTCGAAAGAAAAACTTCATGAACAAAAAATTATTTTTCTTTTTCAGTTTAAGAACTTCAGTTTACCTTTATCACTGCTCTCGTCCTTCTCTGTCAAATTCTTCAGTTCCTCCCGAATCTCGTCCAGTTGTCTCTTCATGCCCAAGATAATATTTTCCATTTTTTTGTTTGGCCCTGCGTAGAAGCTGTTGTAGTTGTTGATGTTGCATGAAGGATTTTCTTTTCGTTTTGGCACTGAATCTTGGGAGCTGACCAAAACATAGGACAGTGCATTAACCCAGAGAATGAGGATTACAATCATTCTCGCCGAGTTCTATACAAAGAATCGGTTATATGTCTTCGTTTGCGGCTCAGTCGCATCAAATTAAAAACAGAAACGAAGTCATAGGTATTTATCGAAAAATTTTTTTCATGCTTAGACATGAATCTGCGGACGTGCTTTTGACAATCAAGGTAAAATCATTATGATATTTACTTTGGCAATGAATCAGTAGAGGACATCACGTTCGTGAAGCTGCATGCAAGGGCATAAGTGACACTTTCACTCTCGGTCACTCTTCTTTTGGTGGAATTAAAAAAAATGAAACATAAGTATGAATTTCAACTCCAGTGTTCCCTATGAATTTCTAGCTGTGACTCTTCCTGGACACCAGTCTTTGCTTGGAAAATTCACAGGAGCATATCGCGAAGAAAAAAGTAAAATTTTAGATGATATAATTACCCAGATTGTTGAGATAACTGGTGGGCGACTGCACGAACGGTCAATTTCGACTTTTGCTGCACTTGCGGATTACACTCCGCACGCCATAGCGACGGTTCAACACACGGTAATCGCGAAAGCCTAATTATCTCGGCTCAAATGGGCCACCAAATCAATCAGAATGGAAAAACAAAATCAATTAACCAAGAAAAGTGGATTATCTTCGAAAAGAGATTATTATCTATACTTTCCTGCTTTGATAAGAGTAGCCCTTTTTTGCGTCCTCTGAAATGACCCTATGTGGTGACATGAAATCCCCCAGAGACAAACCCTCCCAGTAGTCAAACAAAAATTTTTCGTGCAATAAATAACACAGGACAAGCCTTTTCCATTCTCATTGAAGGGAAAACAGAAAACATGTGCTACAGCAAAAAAAGATGAACGAAGAATATTTTTTCACAAATACTATGTGACGCACGACTCCATTAGGTTCCGTATAGTACAGAGTTTCTCTGTTTTCTGTTATTCATTTTTACCTGATTTAGATCTGCCTCTCAAAAGTTCTCTCCTTTTTTAATTGGTTGAATTATCGATCTGCAGAAATGTCTCCTCTGGTATGCATACACTGGTATTCATACGATTTCACTTGAAGTTTCCATATTCAGTTTCTGTGGACTAATTAGAACTAAAATACTGACATCCTACAACTTCTAGCAAAAGAAATTCCGTGAGCTATATTTTCGCAGTCGCAGCGCTCTCGACAAAATCTGTGATATTCACACTTTCAATCACCCTCTCTTACATAGGCGGTTTAGCCATAAATCGATTTTGGCCTCTGGTGAAGCAAATGGAGAGAATTCGAGAATAATCAAACTATTAGTGACACAGGTTCCGTGCTCCTTGGAGGGGAAAAATAAGGAAATCTTTTCGTTTGGGGAAATCGGAAGGACCACTTTTGGCAAGAGCAATTATTTTTAATGTTATTGTGTGTTTCCCTATTAGTTTTTCTTCATTTCATTTCAATCGAACAATGAAAAATAACGTTTGAAGCTTCTAATTGTTTACCCCTGGAAATAGACGATGGTGTTAGACGTGAAAAGATGAAGCAAAGACCGTGACTATTTGCGAAAACTGAACTGGATATATTTTTTAACATATCTTTACTTAAATTCACAGCATCTTTTACATGAGGAATCAAAAAATCATAACTCACACATGTTATATTTTAGGAGTTTACAACCCCCTGATAAAGGCAAGATGTCGCCTGTCTTTATAATTCTTCTGGTTATGCTTATCATCGATTATTTTCCAAACGCTTAAGGCTCGATAAAACCTCTACTTAAATGCCTTGCCTAATTGCATTATTTTAAGCAATACTCTAACAAAAGTTGTAACTTCAGAACATTAATCGCAGCTCGTCTTTTATGCCTTCAAGTTTAAGAAACCAAAAAATATGATAAATGCAAATCTATTATATTTCGGTTTTTAAAACTTGACTGGTTTGATTTTAATCTCAGCTTTTGCAATTGACTTCTGGTATCCCTTCCAGGAGTTCCAAAAAATCCCATCATAAACGTATGACGCATGCGTGCCAATATGGTGCAGACCATTCAGGTTGGAATAAGCACATCCGTTGTACCACCAAGCCCCATTATGCTTTAGTGCACAGTTTTCCTTGTGGGCGTCATTATCCTTATCTTTGGTGGTGAAGGTCATTCCATTGTGATAGGTTAGGGCGTCACCTGCCGTCCCTAAAAAAAAATAATAATGACAAAAAAAAAAAAAGAAATATAT